GAAAATAAAAGCAGACATTAAGAAAGTAAAAACAAAAATGATCCAAAAGAATTAAAAATTGGCTTCTTTTTATTATTTATTTATTTATTTATTTATTTATTTATTTTGAGACAGAGTCTCACTCTGTAGCCCAAGCTGGAGTGCAGTGGCACTATCTCAGCTCACTGCAATTTCTGCCTCCAGGGCTCAAGCGATTCTCGTGCCTCAGCCTCCCGAGTAGCTGGGACTACAGGTGCGTGCCACCACGCCTGGCTGATTTTTTTGTATTTTAGTAGAGAGAGGGTTTTACCATGTTGCCCAGGGTTGTCTCGAACTCCTGAACTCAGGCAATCCTCCCCCCTTGCCCTCCCAAAATGCTGGGATTACAGGCATGAGCCACTGCGCCCAGTCAAAAATTGGCTTCTTTAAAATAACATAGAACAGGCAGATCTCTGACAATAATGATAAAGAGAGGAAAAATAGAAGGCACAAGTCAACACTATTAAAATGAAAAAAGTTCGCTAACTATAGATACAGTAGAATTTTTAAAAAATCATAGTATGGTAGCTTTATGCCAATACATTTTAAAATATGAAAAGAAAAATTTCCTAGAAAAATGTAAACTACCAAAAATAACTTGAGAAAAAATAACAAACTTAAAACAATATCATTAGGTAATTTGAATTGGTAGTCAAAAATCTCTGTCTTTTAAACACACACACACAGACACACACTCACATACTCTAATATGCCAGAGGGGAGAAGTCCTCAGGCCTTTTATAGGCAAGTTTTACCAACCTTAACAGGTCAGTTAATTCTTTTTATACTATTCCATGGGGAAAAAAAGAGGAAAAGCTTGTAAACTGATTTTATGGAGCTATTATAACTTTGCTATCAAAATGGAAAAGGCACAGTACAAGAAAAAATATACATAGATCAATCTTATTTAGGAACATAGAGACAAAGATTCTAAATAAACATTAAAGTGTTCATCATAATCAAGGAACAATGTAAGGAAAGTTCAACATCAGAAATATTTAGCAATATAATTCACCATATTAACATATTCAAAAAGAAAAAACCTCATGATCTCAATATATATCAAAGGAAAAGAAATCATTCAATACTATTAAACATTAATGATAAGGGAAAATCCTCTGGATGGAGTAGAATAGAAGAGAATTTTCTGAACCTGATTGTTGTTATCAACCAAAGCCCTAGAACAAAAAATACTCCTAGTATTTGTAGCATTCCTTTTCTATTTCTCCATTAAAAGCAGAGACAAGCCAAGGATGATCTTTGTTGCCACCATTTTTGTACTGAGGTCCTAGCACATGCAATAAGACAAAGTATGGAAGGAAGAGAAGAGGGAAGGAGGAAGAGAAGGGAACAGGTAGTACCAGTCAGGAATGCATATAATTATAAATATCAGAAAACTACCAGTGGCCTAAACAATGAGGAGTTTGTTTCATACACAAGAAATTGGGAAGTGAGGAGCCTAGGTATGGTGGTATTGATCAGCAGGGTTGTCATGGTGTTCTTTTTTTAATTTTGTTTTGTTTTATTACTATACTTTAAGTTCTAGGGTACATGTGCACAGTGTGCAGTTTTGTTACATATGTATACATGTGCCATGTTGGTGTGCTGCACCCATTAACTTGTCATTTACATTAGGTATATCTCCTAATGCTATCCCTCCTCCCTGTCCCCTCCCCACAGTAGGCCCCGGTGTGTGATGTTCCCCTTCCTGTGTCCAAGTGATCTCATTGTTCAATTCCCACCTATGAGTGAGAACATGCGGTGTTTGGTTTTCTGTCCTTGCAATAGTTTGCTGAGAATGATGATTTCCAGCTGCATCCATGTCCCTACAAAGGACACAAACTCATCCTTTTTTATGGCTGCATAGTATTCCATGGTATATATGTGCCACATTTTCTTAATCCAGTCTGTCACTGATGGACATTTGGGTTGATTCCAAGTCTTTGCTATTGTGAATAGTGCTGCAGTAAACATACATGTGCATGTGTCTTTATAGAAGTGTGATTTATAATCCTTTGGGTATATACCCAGTAATGGGATGGCTGGGTCAAATGATATTTCTAGTTCTAGATCCTTGAGGAATCGCCACACTGTTTTCCACAATGGTTGAACTAGTTTACAGTCCCACCAACAGTGTAAAAGCGTTCCTATTTCTCCACATCCTCTCCAGCACCTGTTATTTCCTGATTTTTTAATGATTGCCATTCTAACTGGTGTGAGATGGTATCTCATTGTGGTTTTGATTTGCATTTCTCTGATGGCCAGTGATGATGAGCATTTGTTCATGTGTCTGTTGGCTGTATGAATGTCTTCTTTTGAGAAGTGTCTGTTCATATCCTTTGCCTACTTTTTGATGGGGTTGTTTGCTTTTTTCTTGTAAATTTGTTTGAGTTCTTTGTAGGTTCTGGATATTAGCCCTGTTCTTTTTACTTTACCCTCTTTGGTTTGATTTCATCCTCATGCTTGCCACCTCATGGCCATAAAATGGTTTCTGCAGCCCTGGGCCTTACATACACATTCCAGGCCAGATCAAGGGAAAACAGTGGTGTCAGTGTCTTCCCAGAAGCCTTGGGGTGAACTTTCCCTTCCATTTCACTGCTCACTGTTAGCTACAAGAAAGGTTGGGAAAGTGGATGTCCAGGGATAGGGTTAGAGCTAACATTAGGATTATAGACATACTTATACTAAATAAATACTTAGAATGATGTTATACTTATTCTAATCCATTCACGGAAATTCTGTTCTTCCTTGTTGGATTTAAGTATATATATTTAATATTTGAGGCATACTAAAAACTTATTTATTGTTTATCTTGTTAAAATTTAACTGCATGTTCTTTTAAAAACAATTTTTTTTCTAATCTGACAATGCTAGGAGTTGGGCATATTGTCACTCTGAAAAAACTGGGGCTCTAAAATTAGTAATAACTGGCTGGGCGCAGTGGCTCATGCCTATAATACCAGCACTTTGGGAGACCAAGGCGGGCGGATCACAAGGTCAGGAGATTGAGACCATCCTGTCTAACATGGTGAAATCCCGTCTCTACCAAAAAATACAACAAAAAAATTAGCCGGGTGTGGTGGCGGGCACCTGTAGTCCCAGCTACTCGGGAGGCTGAGGCAGGAGAATGACTTGAACCCAGGAGGCAGAGCTTGCAGTGAGCCGAGATCATGCCACTGCACTCCAGCCCAGGCGACAGAGTGAGACTCCGTCTCAAAAAAAAAAAAAAAAAAAAAAAAAAATAGTAATAACTACCACAGAAGCATACAAGTTTGTCCAGAAAGACAAGGATTTTTTCCTCTACATTAACTCTGGCAAAATTTACCAAACAGATTTTTCCAGCAAGGAAATTGAGTAGCAAAATAGGCAGTGCATTAGGATACAGTTTTGTAAACATGCAGACCCATTCTTCAAATGCATGTGTCTCATAAAATCCAAGGCTACAAGAAAATATAATTTAGTGATAGCATTTCTGCAGACAACTAAGAAAATTCTTATTGATATCATTAACTGTGTATTAGCCATGTGAAATTACTTAGCCTTGAGATCTTTATCCTACCAAATTATATTAAAATTTTACTAAAATCCTTTAAAAGTTATGCCCACTTGAAAATTTCTCAGCTGCTATTTTGTTTGAACATGAGAATTTAGCCATAAATCTCACTTGTCTGAAGAACCTGAAAGCTAAACAAAAATTGTACTGAGTCTGCAGACAATAGGAATAACAAATTTTACTGGTGAATCTGTGGAGTCAAAGCAGGCTGAACACAGGATGTGGACTTACCTTCAGAAGTGGGAGAGCAAACTCCAAAGTGAACACCAGGGAAGGAGAGCATGGAACTGAAGGCAAAAACTATAGCCTTAAAATGGGGTCTTCATACACTACTGGCCAGGGGAGAGTGAGGACTTCAAGTCACAGGGAAGCTTGCCGGAAGCCAGGGAAACCAGAGGAGTGTAAAAATGAGTTGATCAAATGCAACAAATACATCCCTTTTGTGAAGGTGAGTTTCACTGAAAAGGCTCTGCAATTTTTCCTACTTTTTAAAAAAGAGCTGAAGATATTCCTTGCAGCTCAGTTGAGGCAATCTAAGAGAACCAAGTCCTCAAAGTGAGATTCTAAATTATGTATTGATATCCTTTACTAGTGTGCTGTTTTTGATCAATATCTGTCAATTCCTTCTAAGATTGTTGTTATAGAAAACTGACAGAAAAGGGGGTTGAGCTGAAGGAATTGAGCTGAAAGAAGCCTCACTTCTTTTATTCAATTAACCATTTAAATAAATTATTTGTTCTCTTTCTTGGGAAGAGTATTATAAGGATTTTTCTCCCCTGAGAATGTCAGACTTGGGCTTTTGGTAAAGGGCAGTCAGGTTTGCTGCCAGGCAGTAGGAGAGATGTGATTGAGACAGCATTGTCTAGCATGTGGGCACCATTCTTCCTCAACCGTGGACTAGGTGTGTTCTCTAAAAGTTGCTGCTTATAGACCTAACTAATTTCAAAAATAATCTTTATGGTGCTTTTCACTTGTATCACTTCCCTCAGTCATTTAAATTTTTTAGAATCTTTTTTTTACACAATAGAATAGTCCATATGTAGCTATGTTAAATCACCTTTTACATGAACCTGGGAATCTGGCTATTTAAAGAAATCTTCTAACAAAGCATTCTATAAGACAGATATTACTCTCTAATTTGCCTGCTTTTGAAATGTACCAGCTTTTAAAATTTGTCCTTTTATCTAGGCAGTTTGCATAAGGCGGGCTGACCTTATATTCTAATAGAACTGTTGCCCTCCCATGCTCTTGGCTTCCTTTTGAAGTCAGTGATCATAGCTGTTTCACTGAATGAATACAGAAAGAAAGGTAGTGAGTGCACAGTGGGTGACAGAGCCATTTGACTTTCAAGGTACAAATCCAATAGCATCCAACCAGTGACTCAGCCTCTTCTTCTGGAAAAGATAACATGTACTGTCTTCATCCACAGCCACTTTCACTGTACCTCGGGAACCACCGCCACCTCCAGCAGAGGTGAAGTTCTTTCCCAAGAAACACAGTTCAAAGGTATTCATATTCCTCACTACAGAAAGAAAATTGTTCTTATTTACAACATTTTCGGTGAGATTTTTGGTGATTTACATATGTTATTGAGTTGTACCTTCAACCTAGAAATAAGTGCTATTTCAGCTGTTGCTGGTATGCATTTGACTTTCAAAAGGGGAATTGTACAAGTCAACTCTAGCATAATGTTATTGGTGGAGTCTAAAAAATTCAATCATGTTGCATCATTGCAAGATTAACTAAATGACTGGGTCAACTTCTAATACTAACTGGTCAGGAGTCCAGTAGCTATTGCTTTGTATCCAAATTTGTGTGGTATAGGATGTCTTATTGTTAGGTTCTACTGTATTTAATTTGTCTTTAAATACAGTTTAAAAAGGCAAGATCTTCAAACATAGAATACTTTAATGAAGCAGGGGAAAGAATTCTGCATTATTATTATTATTATTATTATTATTATTATTTCAAGACAGAGTCTCACTCTGTCACCCAGGCTGGAGTGCAGTGGCACAATGTCAACTCACTGCAACCTCTGCCTCCTGGGTTCAAGTGATTCTCATGTCTCAGACTCCCAGGAAGCTGGGATTACAGGTGCCTACCATCATGCCAGGCAAATTTTTGTATTTTTAGTGGAGGACGGGGGTTTCACCATTTTGGCCAGGCTGGTCTCGAACTCCTGACCTCAAGTCACCCATCTGCCTCGGCCTCCCAAAGTGCTGGGATTATAGGCATGAGCCACCACGCCTGGCCTTTTTTTTTTTTTTTTTTTTTAAATCATCATGTGGCACTTCCTTTTCTTTTTCTTTTTCTTTTTTTTTTTTTTTTTTGAGATGGAGTCTTGCTCTGTCACCCAGGCTGGCGCAATCTCAGCTCACTGTAACCTCTGGCTTCCAGATTCAAGCAATTCTCATGCCTCAGCATCCCTAGTAGCTGGGATTACAGGCATGTACCACCACTCCCGGCTAATTTTTTGTATTTTTAGTGAAGACAGGGTTTCTCTATGTTGGCCAGGCTAGTCTCGAACTCCTGGCCTCAAGTGATCCACCTGCCTTGGCCTTCCAAAATGCTGGGTTTGTGGGCATGAGCCACCACACTGGGCCAAATTCTGTATTCTTTAACATTAACTCCTCACAGTACAATCTAATTCATTCTTATGGAGAGTCCCCCAGTTTCAATGTGCTGGACTTTTGTACCTTGCTTTCTTATGTTTATGGGCTACAGATAGACTTGTGATTTTTGAAACTTTTCACTACAGAAAGGAGACAGCTGGCACTGTCTTTTTCTGGCTTACCTTATGTGGAAAGTGGTCATGTTTTCAGCTGCTCTCATAAGAAAAAAAGAGAAATTGAAGAGTGGCACAAGAGAAATTAATCCTAGACTGCTACCTGCTCTTCCCAGACTTTCATCTTTCAATACTGAAATCATCAAGAGGTTTCACTGTATTTTCAGCACTGGTGGGCTGTGTCCCCTTAAGAGATTTCCAGGCTATTTATGTAGCAGCATGTCATATGACACCCCAGTTGCCATGGCAAATATTTGTGTTTCATGAAAAATGTGAGTAAAGAAAATCAATGTAAATGGCCAAATCCCAAGACAGACAGGCCTTCAGGCGAGTGTTTGGCCTGCACCATTATTGTTTCAAATTCAGCTGTTTAACAGGCTGTGAGAAGGCCATGGGCTAATGTGCATAATAGGAACAGGCGGAGGCACCTGTTTTGATTCTCACCCTGTTGGAGTGCTCAGGTCCCACAGTTTTATAGATGACAGATCTACAGGTAATACAAATATTATGACTAGGTTTTAGCCAGTAAATGGTTTACCTCAAAAAAATAGTTTTAAATAATGACATATTTTCTGAATGCTAATGAGCCCTGGCTTTAATTTCCTCTATTGACTTCACCAAGCTCTCCCCAACTGCTGGAAACAGTAATATTTAATGACTTTTTCCTGTGGTCCGAGATTGGTACAGCATTTCTAAACTGACTCTTCAATGGTAAATGTAATTTTTCATATATTTTGTGGGAAGTGTCCTGGGCATGGAAGTTAAAAAGAAGAAGGACTTAAGTGTGCCACGCCTCGTGATAGAGCCAGTACAGACCTTTGATCAGACTCCACCACAAAGCAGTGTGGTGCCACACTAGTGTCCCCTAGAAGTGGGACTTGGCTTCTGATTATGGTTGTTTTTGTAAATATTTGCTTAGTCAAATTCTTCAAAGCAAACGGGGCTTGGCAAACAGAGCATTGTTGTCAGTGTGGCAAAGGTCTTACTAATTATTAGCTGCTGCCTGTGTGGAAAGAGAGAACAGGCTGACCCAGCAGGGAAAGTGGGGAAAGGAGTGAGGCCCTGAGCCTTCTATTTGTTTTGTAAAATTGCCCATGAGAGTCGTTTTGATTTAAACTGTGTCTCGTTCTTCATTGTAGGGGAAAAGCAGAAGGCCAAGAGGACATCATGATAGGAAGGTCTGTAATTTGTGTGACTAGTTTTAATTTAGGGTCTGTCACCTGATGTCCCTTCCTTTTGCTGCAGGGCAAAAGTATGGGCGACTGCTTGACAGCTGGAGATGGCAACAAAAGTTCGTGCTTCTTCTTTTTTTTTTTTTTTCACCACCATATCAAATTTATTATTCCAATGGCACTAGTACAGCTGGAGGTGCTCATGGTGACACCGCACAGGTCTTCCTGCCTGCTAGAAATCATCTATCCACTTGTTCCTTTCTCCTTTCTGGGGCAAAAGCCACTACGGGCCATTTACCCAAATAAACCTCTTAATGCGTTTGTTAAAATTTGTTTGGACATCTGAGTTTCCCTCTGAAGAAATGGAAAAAGTGTTGGGTGTCCCATCCCACCTCCCCCTCCCTGACCAGCCCAGTAAAAGTCCCTGCTAAGAGGGCGTGTCTGCTGCCTCTGGACTCTGGAAATAAATATCGCTTATTTTATAAAAGAAATTCGATCATGGTTTCAGAGAAAAAAATTTTTTAAAAACATGGTTCATTTAAAGTGAAAACCCTTTTTTGCCTTCTTTTGGGACTGAATTACTTCTCAGGCTTCAGTCCAAATGACTTAGCATCCTTAAAATTTGGCTGAATCACATCAATCTTCAACCTCAATCACAGATTTTCATCTTTTAAAAGTACACTTAAAAAGAAATAAAATGTGAAAATAAATGTAGTTGTTCCCCAGCACGTGCTTGTATGTGTGCATGCATATAGGGTGCACATACACATGCAGCATATTGCGTGTATGCTGTAGTACAGATGGGATTTAGAGCTAAGCTAATCCTAACAACTAAGGTAACAAAAATATTGGAAAAACGAAATAGCCCCCACAATATAGCAAGTACATGCCAGCAAGGAACATTCCAGAAGGTCATGCATGGGTAATAAAAGTCCTGAACTTGAAGTAGGAATGCACCGGATTCTCCTTTGAGCAAGTCACTTTACTTCTCTGCTCTTCACTTTCCTCCTCTGACAAATGAGGACAATACCTTCCTTCACATAGGGTTGCTGCATGGATCAGATGCGTTAATGTGTGTGAAAGTGTTTTGGAAAAGTACTTGTTATCATAACTCATTGGTCCATTATTAAGAGCATCTTCTAGGCCTCCCTTTCTTGGTGATCTTCTTATCAGTAAGAATTTCACGGGGATCTTAGCCATCTGCTTTCAAGGAAAAAGAGCCTGCCTTTGGGGTCACATTTTATTCCTGCAGAGCTGTGCCTAGATAGAGCTGTATTTACATCAATGATTATATACAGTCCCTCTGTACCTAGACAGATTGCTCCTCAGTAAACTAATCAGTGCAATTGGATCCTTCGTCTTGCTTCCTTTGATGTCTTACTGTGAGAAAAGTGTGAGCTTGATTCTGCAGGTTAAAAACAGGATGTGTTTACAAACACTAAGGCATTATTTATCTGGAATATTTGTAACTGCTAATGTTGACTGAGCATGTCCTGCATGCATGGCACTAAGCATCTTTCATACCCAGTGAACCCTCATAGCAGGCAGAACCTATGTGCTGCAGTTGTCCCCGGGCCCACTCAGTTGGCAAAGGGGTGCAAAGGATCCAGCTGACAGAGTGAAGCTCCAGAGTTTGTGCTCTCTGCACGTTCCAGGTTATGAATGCTTCCACATGGGTCAGTTTTTCAAATACTACTACTACTGCTCACAAATAGTGTTACTACGGCTGCCACTGCTGCTGCTACTGCTACTTGCAGCTAACATGTACTGAGTGCTTACTCTTTGCCAGGCTCTGTTCCTAATGTCTTAAGTGGATTATCTCACTTAGTTTTCACAGGATTTCTGTGCAGTAGGCACTATTATCATTCAATTAGTCATCCAATTAGTAAATGACAGAGCCAGCATACAACACTGGACTATGTAACTACCAGAGCCCCAAAGCATTGGGGAAATTTTTATAAATCTCAATCATTTTTTACAGAAACATATTACACTTAATACATTTCTAAAATATATTACATTTCTGCCTAACTAATATAATGTAATATTTTCTCTATTCAATATCATGTATACAGGTAATCAGTTTCTGTGTCCTTTACTGTTTCCTTCAATAACAGACAGCAGTGATCACCTTTGTTGCTGTGTCTGCTTTCATCAGCTCCGACTTTAACAGCCTTTTCTATCATATAGCTCAGTTAACCAAACCCAGTTTAAGAAGTTGAATAAGTTTAAGTCATTCAGGCTCTACACAGGATCCAAAGAAAAAAATAAAAAACGATAGTAGAGTTTGTCATAGTTATTTCGATCAATGTCAGGCATCTTTATTTTCAAGAATCTAGTTCAAAGGTATGAGGTTGTTAAAATTTTCCTGTCAGCAAATAAATCTTTTTATTTAAGGCAAGCATAAAAATTATGTTGAGATTCACTTAACTTTAATTTATATTTTGATAATAAAAATCTATTTTATGGATAAAACAAGCAAACAAATATTTATTCTACTATAGGAGTACAGACCAAATTCATGAGTGTGTTTGCTTCTGGGAACAGGGAGAAAGAGGAAGGAGAGTGAAAAGAAATACAGAGAGGATGTTAACTTTGTATATATATAACATACACACACATATGCACACACCACACACACACATTTATATATATACAGCAAAGACGACGAAAAATTAAACAAAAATGTGTCCGTGGTAGTTTTTTATATTATTCTCTATACTTCTCTGTGTGTTTAAAACTTTTCCAAAACATTTCCAAATAAAAAAAAATGCAAATTGAAGAAAAATATAATAGAAAATCCTGTTTCCCAAGCCATCCCTCCATTGTAAAATTTATTTTGGTGTAGAAAGAATAGGTTTGGGTGATAACATTGTAATCTCAAATTTGGGATCTCACTTCTCTTAGTCATTCTTTTCAATTGTTACTTTCTTTAGTATTTTCCCAACATATACTTCTGATCCTCTCATTAGAAAACTGTAATTATTTTATGGGTGAGTCAGCTGAAATATTTTAATCAGGCAATATGTGTGACATTAAACATATCACTGCCCCTATCTGCTCTCATTTCCCCCTATCTGTATACAAAGAAGATTGGATCCAATCAGTATTTTTAAGGGGCTTCCATATCCTCACCCTACAACCCCAGGGAGTCCTCACCCCACAGCCCAAGAGAAAGAAGAGAAGCAAAAGCTCCTATCAGTGAGGGGCTCTAGGCCCCTATATCCACAACACCTGGGTTTTCTATTTTACCTCTTTACCATCAAACTATATAGTATTTGAACAAAATGTTTGAGACTTTAAAATGTATGCTTTCAAAACCACTAGATGCTATCTAGCGGCAGTTTTGGCTTTAACATGTCATATCTGGTGGGGGAATAAGCCTACTTCTTAAAGGGCACAGGGTGCCTCCCTGGTTCACTTTGCTCCCGGCACAATTTAGTCTCCTTCCTTGTCTTGCCCTAAAGGGTTGGAGAGAGGGCAGGTCTTAGAGAATTAGAGCTCTGCAACCTGGTGATACAAAATGAGATTCAAAAGCAAGTCCAAAGCTATTTTTTTCTCTTTTAGACTCATTTTCTCTCATAAAACCTCATTTAACTTACCATCTTAAAGGAAGAAAAGAAAAATCCAGAAAAAAAAAAAAAAAAAAAAAAAACCTGTTGGAATCTTTTTTAAAAAACACAAACCTTGATTTTTTTTATTTTTTTGTTAATGGAGTCTTGCTCTCTTACCCAGGCTGGAGTGCAGTGGCGCAATCTCGGCTCACTGCCACCTCTGCCTCCTAAGTTCAAGTGATTCTCCTGCCTTAGCCTCCTAAGTAAGTAGGACTAGAGGTGTGCACCACCACACCCAGCTAATTTTTATTTATTTATTTATTTTTAGTGGAGACAGCGTTTCCCCGTGTTGGTCAGGCTGGTCTCAAACTCCTGACCTCAAATGATCTGCCCACCTCAACCTCCCAAAGTGCTGGGATTACAGGCGTGAGCCACCGCGCCCAGCCTAATTTTTATTTTTTCAGCTTTTAGGTTCAGAAGTACATATGCAGGTTTGTTACATAGGTATTAATAAGTTGTGTGTCATGGGGATTTGGTGTACAGATTATTTCATCACCCAGGTAATAAGCATAGTACCCAAGAGGTCGTTTTTGGATCCTCACCCTCTTCCCAGCCTCCACCCTCAAGTAGGCCCCTGTGTCGTTCCCTTCTTTGTGTCTACATGTACTCAATCTTTAGCTCCCACTTATAAGTGAGAACATGCAGTATTTGGTTTTCTGTTCCTGTGTTATTTTCCCTAGGATAATAGCCTCCAGCTCCATCCATGTTGCTTCAAATAACATGACCTCTTTCTTTTCTGTGGCTGCATAGTATTCCATGGTATATGTGTACCACATCGTCTTTAACCAGTCTACTGTTGATGGTAATTTAGATTGATTCCATGTCTTTGCTATTGTGAATAGTGCTGCAGTGAACATAACACATGCATGTGTCTTTACAGTAGAATGATTTATAGTCCTTTGGGTATATCCCAATAATGGGATTGCTGGGTCGAATGGTAATTCTGTTTTAAGTTCTTTGAGAAGTCACTAAACTGCTTTCTACAATGGCTGAACTAATTTACATTCCCACTGGCAGTGTATAAGCATTCCCTTTTCTCTGCAACCTCACCAGCATCTGTTATTTTTTGACCTTTTATAATGGTCGTTCTGACTGGTGTGAGATGGTATCTCATTGTGGTTTTGATTTGCATGTAGAATCTTTTAAAAACAGTTACCATTTTCTGTAATTCATTAGAAATTGCCATCTTCACCTATGCATTTTCATCATTAAACTTTCCAAATGAATTGAAATTATATAGTTTTATTTGCCAAATAATTTTTTCGGAATTCTTGCAAAACAATTTTTCTTGTGATTACCGAGAAAAACTATAAGGATTGTGTTTACTACTCTTCATAGCATTGTCTAACTAAACATTTTTATTACATGTGATTAATAATTTCACTTATATAC